TCAAGAGTTTATTCTTGACAAATCAGCTTGTGTGAGTTTTGATTTTAATTCTTCTAAATAACTTTCTAAGAGAGAATTACTTCATTCGGTGACATTAGAGGGGCCTTAATTAGGGTGACCATACGTGCCATTTTCCCAGGACGCGTCCTGGCCAGGATTTGTTTTGGCTTTGTTTTCCTGTTTTCATGCTTGCTGAAGGTAATGATCGAAAAGTAGTTTGACCAATAACATGCAAGCATTGTACATAATGGACCAATCATGGCGTGTGAGAATGTGGGATCTACGGTCAAAGCGATGCAATTACGTGTACATATTAGGTGTGTTCGACTTAAAAGCAGTGTGGCTCAGACCGATCAGTGTTTGACATCAAAGTACCTCGAGAGCATTTCGAAAGCATAACCGTCTGTATGGTACTTTGATGTCATACACCGATCGGTCTGCACACGCAAACAAAGCCAAAACCTAGATATTTTAGGCAATATAGAAATCCTGGCCAGGACGCGTCCTGGGAAAATGGCACGTATGGTCATCCTACCTTAATACATCATCTCTTAGGCATTAGTATATTGAACCTGGTTCTGCTCCTTACTCAGTTGTTAAAAAAGAAGGTAGGTGGCACTACATGTATATAATCCAATAAACGGGCAATGGTCAGTGCAGGCAGCAAACGATCACAAAACCAGATAACAGTCCAGGGTCAAAAAACAAGGCAAGGCAAGGCAAGAAACAAGGAGCAAGGAACTAGGAAAACACAGGAACTACGGAACGCAAAAGGCTAACAATACTGAGCAATGAGTGTATGTAAAACCAGGCTTTAAATAGGGTGAGAAACAAGACACAGGTGAATGCAATCAGAGATGATAAGTCCGGTAAAGGATTATGGGAAATGTAGTCTGGGATAGAGTGGCAAGAGTCAGAGGTGGAATGCCCTCTAGTGGAGTTCATAGGCACTCCAGCTGGAGATCGTGACAATACATCAGTGCTGTCAAAATTAACGTGTTAACACATGTGGTTAATTTTTTTCAGTTTAACGCATTAAAAATATTTAATGTAGAGGCAGAGCTAGGGTTGGCCACCCCACTCACAACTGTTGCTTGTCTCTTTTTTTTTCTTGACAAGAATTGTGTTTATTTAGATGCAGAACGTCTTTAAGACCACATCAAACTTTTTGAGACTTTTCAGACAGGCACTCCAACTTCACCTCAGTGTCAGGCACTAGTCAAACAAGCACGGAAAAACTACAGGTGAGGAGGGAGCTTCAGAAGAGCAACAGTGAACTGCGGTCAGATGAGATGTCGTCAGGCCATATGTCAGTAAAAACAAATTTTCCTGCCCTGTCAGCCATTATACTGTGCTTGTAGCACATGCTCTTCAATTGTACGCACAAATGCAGCGGCACACGCTGAATAAGAAACTGCGAACATGCAATGTCGTAGTTATGTCATAAGTTAGCCATGTCATAGCTATGAATTTATCAAAGAGGCGATTAAAACTGCCTTAAAACTGTGCATGCATGTAAGTATTTGTTATATGAGTCACATTTAAAGGTAGGGTAGGCAATTTCAGAAAGGCTAGCAATAGCAAGCCAGATTTGAAAGCAAGATCCCCCCTTCCCTGCATAATCACTCTGCAAAGCCACGCCTCCTCCAAAACACATGAATGTGAACAGACAGACAAGAGGCTAATCATCGACACAATGAGAGATGACTTTGGTGGAGGACTTTGGTCTGAGTGCAACACTGTCAGATTACCTCATGTCTCATTTACCGGTAAGAAAACATAATACAAAGCCCATCATATTAAAATAATAACACCTTCCATTCTCTCTCGATCTGCAATAGCGTAATAGAACGCGATGATGATGTATCATGTCTGCGCGAACAGGGTGCACAGAGGAATGCAAATACATACGTTGACAGGCAGGTAGGACAGCCTATCCTAATGTTCAGACCAAATAATCTGATTGGTTGAACATTTTAATGTCCGACGCCTTCCACAGACGATAAACATACACATACAGTGGGTATAGAAAAGAATAACCCCGTCAATGGCACACAAAGCCATTTGACTTTCAACTGTGATCAGCTGTGGTCATTATGATTAGCTCAACATGAAAAGAGCTTTTACTGGAGCATTTAGTAGTGCAACTGAAGCAAACAATCAACTATGGGTGGCAAGACAGATGTCACAAGATCTCCGGGATAAAGTTGTGGACAGGCAGGAGATGAATACAAAAAATAATAATTTTATCAATGCCTAGAAGCACAGTGAAGTCTAATATTTAGAAGTGGAAGGTATTTGGTACAACACAGACCCTCCCTGGATCAGGACGTCACTCCAAACTGGATGAAAGAGCAGGAGGAAACTGATCAGAGAGGCGACCAAGAGGCCTACAGCAACTCTGAAGCAGCTGCAGGAATTTATGACAAAGAGTGGTCATTGTGTGCATGTGACAACAATATCACAGATTCTCCACAAATGTGGCTTGTATGGGAGGGTTGCAAGAAAAAAGCCGCTCCTCAAGAAAGGCCACATGCAGTCACGACTGAGCTTTGCCAGAATACATCTTGAAGATTCTGAGGCAGATGAGACTAAAATTGAATTATTTGGCCTCAACTCCAAACGATATGTCTGGCAGAAATCCAATACAGCCAACCATCCAAATAACAGCATTCCTCCAGTAAAGCATGAAGGTGGTAATATCCTGTTATGGGGTATTTCTCTGCAGCAGGTACTGGAGCTCTTGTCAGGATAGGAGAAATGGATGGGGCAAAATACCGCCAAATTCTTGAGGAAAATCTGCTGCCCTCTATTTTAAAGAGGGGTCATTCTTTTCTATACCTGCTGTAAATACAACCAGCATACATTTTTTTTTTCACCAAATCACCTACCCTGCCTTTAAGAACATGTCTCTGAAATGCAGTGGTTTTCAAAACTGTCCTGGAGCACCCCAGTACTGTCTCCCTCATCTAACAAACCATATTCAACTCGTCAGCTCATAAGTAGAGACTTTTTAAGACCTGAAGTGGGTCAGAAAAGTAAAGAGTTATGAGAAAATATGATGTGTGTCATATCCGCGTCATGTTCAGCAGCAGCAGGCAATATAATAAATATGTCATTTATTATAATGGGTTTATGTGAAGATTGTTTTAATTTCACTTAAATTAGAAGTTGTTATTGTTGTGTTTTAAAGTCTAATAAATGTTAAAATTGATAGCTCTCAATTATACTGTAATGTTGAATGGCTATAGTCAATGGTTATCTAATAGGTCTTTTGTGTACATAGAAAAAGTCTTAGATCTTTGAGTTCAGCTCATGAAAAATGGGGGCAAAAACAAAAGTGTTGCGTTTATAATTTTGTTCAGTGTATATCTATCCCTCATCCAGTAATGTGTACATTTGTACTATTGATATATATCATACAGGAAAAGTTCATTAGTGCATTTTCAATGTCATCAAAACTGTAGCCATAGTTTATATGAGGAAATACTGACACAGTACACTGTTATATTGACAACATGGCTAAGCATAATCTTTTTCATGATCAATGACACAAGGACTTGTCATTCTGATGGCACTGATATGTGCATTGACATACATATTTACTTTTGAGAGATAAACTAAGGATTTTGAGCAAGTTACAGGCTTTTGCAAGTAATCCATTGTGTTGTGCTGTTGTACGAATTGTTTTGAGAAATGCACATACTGGTTTGCAAATATTAAGAATGGTTCAAGAAATGTTCCAAAGAGTAATAAAAGTCTATAATGCCTTAATGATTTAACACTGAGCGGTTTTAGGGCTGAGCGTTATGCTAGTACATATCAATGGTGTATACTGTTTTGTGAAGGCCACCTGAAAACCTGTGAATACTATGTGGATCGTTGTTCTCATTGAACGTTTTCTCCATCTGTTTTTTCTCACATTGTGCATATGTCTTTCAACCTTCCTTGTCTTTTCCTCCAGCGTGTCCTTGTGTAGTTTGTATCTGTACTATTCTTCACTTGCTTTCATCACTTTCTAAACCATTTATATTTCCTCATCCCTGACTGTCATTCTCAACCTTCTACATCTCACAGTAAATCAGTTCTTCCGTCCTTCATTGGCACTCTGTGCCAGTGTCTAATGGTGTGGTTGAGCGGAGGTTAACGGCCAGCGCTGAGCTAATGAAAGCAGCCAGACTGGCAGACACATGCGTCACTCCATCAGCAAATCGCTGACTCATCTCACAGGAAGTGCTTTGAGGACTGACCACAACAGGAATCGCATGAGCAGGTAGGGGGCAGCAGGGCCTTGCTTATTGCATCAATTCTATGTCTGAGAGGAAAAATTGAGGGGGATGATGAATGTTTTGGGGCTAATTAGCATAGACATTTCAGTTGCCTCAAAACAGTGGTTCTTGGTCAGTGGTTCAAGATCACTTTTAAAAGCATTAGCAAATAGAAAAAAAGAAAATGTGGACCACTAAACACCCCATAACCAACACCTTAAAACAAGTTACACAAATAAGTTACAAATTACCCTAGTTTTCTATCATAAATGCCTTACTATATGTAATTATATTTCATTAACACTGGAATTAACTACACTGCTGCTATTAACTAATGAACTTAAATGAGCTGTTTATTCACTAGCTAAGTTCACTAATTCATATACTTAAATACACACTGATGTATGGCTGTCATCACTGAAGTGAGACAACAGAAACTTTTTTTTTCATTATTATGAATTTATTAATCAGCCAATTCAGTATTGGTGTTTTATGATATTATTTTATTTAGTTAGTTTTTTTTTTTAAATCAACAAGTGTATTATTATTCTAATGAATAAAAAAATGCCTTCAATATCATAATTTCATCAAATTGTCTAAAATAAAGCCTCACTCTACTTTTTTTCTCATTAAAACTTTTTCACTTAAAAATGTCATGTTATGGCAGTAAAGTGGATTATAAATACCATACTTAGCCAAGTTTCCATACAGGAACAAAAACAAAAGCACAAAAAAATAAACTCTGCTAACTGAATAATTATAGTCAAGCAAATAAATTGCATTCTCTCAAACATAGCCTATTCCACTTATAATGGAATTGTATTTTAATTTAAAACATTAAATATATTTCCACATTAAATGCACAATTACTTTGAATGCTTGACCCAAGACATTATGATTATTTCCAATCAACATGGACGTTCCATGCAATATGGTGACTAACAATAATAAAAATCATTCTCATGATATTTACCAGGAGCATCAGAGTAGATAGATGCTGTATATTTTGACTAAAAGAGAAGCATCAGAAGGACCCGTGGCAAACTTGCAAGGGTTTCCCTGGATTAGACTTTGATTAGCAGGACTGACAACCTTATTATGCGCCGTGCTTGTTATTGATATTACTCTGGGCTCTGTTGCCATGACCACCACACAAGAGACATTTAATTTTCTCTGCTTCATCATCATTATCTATGAGACCATCTGTTGTGCAAAATGAATTCAGCCTCATTTGCATGACTGATAAGCGCATTCTTTATCTATTTAACAGAAGGTCATATGCCATGGGTTTGGAGGCAGCAAAGGAGAGAGACAGAGAAGTTGTGTGTGTGTGTGTGTGTGTGTGTGTGTGTGTGTTTAGGGGGTTGGACGAGTAGGAGTGTGAAACATTATTAGCACAGACGTTTATTTTGGTGAGTTGACTGTAGTCGCTGTGCTTTGGAACCGTCTGCATGCTTTATTATTCCAGCATCCAACAACGATTAGCAAGAGGGCTAAACAGGGGCCTCCATTGCATTTCACTAGTAAAACACTGCAGCCTGATTGGGTGATTCTCGTACCTGGTATGTGCATAAAACTCCTACTCTGTATCAAATCAGCCATGCTTGCACAAAAAGCATATAGGAATTTTAATACATTTGTATTATTAATTCAAACCCACAATAGGATGCTGAATAAAATTCTCACACGCCCTCTTGTCAAACAGAAGCTGAAATATAGGAATTATTCAGGTCTTCTGATTGCCAGTCTCGAAATGAACTGCTTGTTATTTCAATACTTTGCATTCCCCAGTTACTGTGAGCATGAAATCATTTAATCGTCTTTGCTATGGTAAATTTACGTTCTGAATATGGTAATGTTCGATTCACTAATCTTAAGCAGTTGCATTTGATTTCAGCTGTAAGTGGCACAAATGTCATGTGAACTAAATGTCTATTTTTGCTTGCTGTCTGTTGTGTGGCAGGCTATAAAACCTGACCTAGTTCCTAAAATACATGTGTGCTGTAGCTGTACAGCCCTCCTCATATCAAAGCCAGAATGCCCCACTCCTTCAAAACACAACCTATTTACACTCATCTGCTGTATTTCTCAAACAATTTCCATTTACAGCTCTGTTTCAGCTATTTTTTCAGCTCAATATTGGTGAATGTGGTCTGATTTTCCGTTACCATAGGGCTCCTCCTCTCACTGTCTTGCCCATTAACATCACAGCTCTGAGGTTGCAGCTTTCAGCACCAGGCGCTGTCCACTCCACGAGCAATCAGAAACCTTTGGCATCAGTCCACCAATGCAAAAGGATATGATAAGAAAGGCACCACCATAGCCAGTTTTAACCAGTAAACAATGAAATTAAAATTAATGATGCAGTTTTTTCTCAGTTATTTGGCTAATGTTCTTGCAAATTTTTCTTAAAGGGTATCAGTTATGCCCCGTTTTACAAGATGTAATATTAGTTTGTCCCTAGAATGTTAAGTTTCAGCTCAAAATACCCCACAGATATTTTATTATTCCATGTTAAAATTGACTATTTTTTACGTTTTGTGCATGTATCTTTAAATGCAAATGAGCTGCTGCACCCCGCCCACTTTTCCAGAAAAGGGCTGTGCAATTACAGCTGGTGCCTCAGATCAGTGTTGCCAAGTTTGCGGTTATCCCGTGGAATTGGGCTACTTTAACACTGTTGCCACGGTTTTTTCATGTCCGCGGGTTGAATCGACTCCAATAACATGATATTTATCCCCTGGAATGCGAATTTTAGCAGGGGAACCCCGCCAAAAAACGTGTATTTTACCCCCGGAACGCAATTTTTAACTGGGGACCCCCTCGAAACGCGATTGGGCTAGTTTTGGGCTAGTTTTGAGTAGCGATTTTCTTGTGAAAACCTGGCAACCCTGCCTCAGATACTCAGCCAAAATTAAACATCTGTTTGGTCTTGAATATCATGTCTATCGCGGTCACGCTCTTCAGTTAAATCTTCTGATATACGGTTTTCTGAGTGCACACATCCGAAGCAAATGCGCATTAAGCTCAGTTCTCAAAAATTCGAGAGAAAATATTTGTGCGCAGGCTTGATAATTTTATAGACAAACACAAATGATTAAGTGATCATCAGTATGGCTTTAGAACAAACAGGTCGACCTCGATGGCTGTGATGGAACTGGTAGAAGAGATTTCTTCTTCAATGGATAATAATGAATATACTGTGGGGGTGTTCCTAGATTTAAAAAAAGCGTTTGACACTATTGATTATAAATAATTATATGACTCAGTATCAATAATTGTGAATGTATTGTTACAATATTGAAGTAATAGTTGTAATGTGTATTTTTGTTATGTTGTTTTGAATTATGTATGTACATTTGGGGTAATGTTTATGTAACATGTTTATCTTGTATTTCTTAGTGAAAAGTGTCGCTCATCAGTTAATTATGTATAAAGGGTAGGCATAATAAGCAAGGCTTCAGCCTACACCTTTTTCGGTAATTATGTTTATTTATTTATTTTGTGAAAAGTTGTCTGTGAGGACCAAAATAAAATTATTGATTTTATTATATATATATATATATATATATATATATATATTACACCACAAATTTAAAAACACTAATGTTTCTATAAATCCACATTAAAAGACACGCTCACAAAAAAATTTGATATTCACCATAATACAATGTCATATATCACATTTTCCAGACACACAAAACTAAATCATTTAACCTCAAAACTGTTTTGATTGACTACATCTCACAGATGTTCATATTCAGATGCAGCGGCAAAATGAAAAAACTAAAAAAAGCATGCTCACATACTGCTGTGAAGGTGTTCTTGTGTCAGTATGAGGGGAATGTTTGGTGTTTTCTGGTTGAAGCAGAGCTCCTGCATGCATCTGTCACAGTTACCACACAACTTAGTGTCAGGATGATGAACAGCCCAGTGATCACATCCACGCACAATCACTCCATCTCATGCAAAACCAAGCACTTTATCTTTAATCACTTCCCTGTCAGTTATTTGATGTCGTGTTCACATATATCAGGTTTTGTAATTACCTTCTAATCTCATTTAATAATTTTTTTACTTTTCAGCATCTGGATTAAAGAAAAATAAACTGGATTGTCAGAAGAAAAAATGCATTCTTGAGTTGAATTTATATTATAATGTATTTATTATGAATGAAACACATAATAACTTAAAACAAATGACAACTGAGCTGACAATAGAATGGCAATGTAACCACAGAATTAAAACTGAAACAATCTCTGAGTGATTTGGAACATTCTACTGTACATAGATGGCAGATTATAGTGCACACAATGACCTCAATGCAACAACTGATTCCAATGGAAACTGACATTATTGATCTCATAAGCATGAAAATACAAAGCAAGCTGTGTTTATTTGATCAAAATAGAGTAAAAAACAGTAATATTGTGAAATACTGAATTTTCGGCATCATTACTCCAGTCTTCAGTGTCACATGATCCGCCATGGCCTCCTGAACTGCTTGCCCCGCCATGGCTTCCTAGTTTGCCTGCTCCGCCATGGCCCCTGAGTTCCCTGTGCCCCCATGGCACCCTGGACTGCCTGATCCGCCCCCCTGGAGGTATTCCCCATGTCCCAGTCCTGCACCAGCCTCCAGGGCACCCACCCTCCCTCCCTGGTGGAATTGTTACGGCGCGGGATGCGCCTTCCGGGACGAGCTCCCTGCTCCGCCATGGTCCCTGAGCTCCCTGTGCCGCCATGACACCCTGGACTCCCTGATCCGCCCTGGAGGTATTCCCCGTGTCCCAGTCCTGTACCAGCCTCCAGGGCGCCCAACCCCCTCCCTGCTGGAAATGTTACGGCGCGGGATGCGCCTTCCGGGAGGGGGGAGTAATGTCAGACTCTGTTACGTGTATTTTTGTGTGTGTTTTGCTTCCTATGTTTCCTTTTGCCCTTATTTGGTCTTCCTGTTCCGTTTCCCTGATTAGGTTTATTTGTCCCAGGTGTTTCCAATGTTCATTATGTCATTGATTTCAGGTGTTCCTCATTGCATCCCTCCTCTAGTCCTGTATTTAATGGTTTCCTGGTTTGAGTTTGCTGTCCGGTATTGTATATGTCAACCCTTGCTACGTGTGTTTTCCTTGTTCCCTGGATATGATTAAAATCTATATGTTTGAATTCCACTCCTCATCTCCTCGTCCTCCTTCGTCTCCGTGCTCCTCACAGTAGCGCACCGTGACAGGCACACATTAGCTACTGTTAACAGCTCATGATGCTTATAAAAATCACATGTTGAAATGCCATATTATCACCCAAACATCAAGCATCGCATTAGTTCAGGCAGGCCATGTCAGTCAAGTTCACAACAGCTGATAGTCAGCTGTTCCTGACGTGTACCAATGCAGTTTTGACACTTATCACAGCGGTTCATTTAAATTCCCATTCTCCAGCATCTCTTCTATCGCATCGCTGCTCGCAAATCAACTCCCTCCTCCAACCCCAACTCCACCTAACTGAACCTGTAATTTATTTTTTTCTCTTGCATACAGTTAACTATATTGCAAGCATTCTCTATCATGAATTTTGTATTTTCTACAACTCATGTAAATTGTGAATTGTAATTATGTATGCATATACTGGATCTTTTCTGTACCCCAGGGGGGTTTTACTTGCTGCTCTCCACGCTCTGTCCCCATGGCTGCATGGATAGGCGTGGGGAGTTTTGCCCAGAACAGAACCATACCGCCAACACTAACCGTATACTATATAATTGTATTAAATATACTTTGAAAAAGTGGTCCTGACTGAAATAATATTATTTAATTTTTAACCAAAAACAAAATAAAAAAATTTGCAACCAAATTTCCCTTTATGCTATTTTGAAATCAGAGCTATAGACCTTAATCAGGTTAGATGCCACAGTCTTTACAATGGCACACACCGTATAAAGCTCATAAATCATGTAGCCTAATTTTCACAACTCACAACTTTCAAAACTGTTAAAGTACCTAACGTTCCTGTAACAGTCCCTTCCTGTAGTAAACCACCAGCATCAAGAGGGTTTTTTTATTTACCCACTGTACATTATTTAAGAATTTTTTTCTGAAACATTCTTATTTGGACATTCATCTAATGTTTTTTTTAACTATAATACTAACTACTTGTCTCAAACTATAGAGAACTTCCAAATGTAACATTTCCATAATGCTTTCAAAATTATCAAATTTAACTTTCCCTTAATATGTTCTATAATGTTCACATGAAGAAGAGAAAATATTCAGAGAACATTCACGTTTTCATAAATGAATGTGAATGTCATCAAAACATTCATTCTCTAATAGAATGTTTGTTTAAAGTTATCTGATTTTTAATGATGTTCCCAAAACGTTACCACAAAAATGTTATTTGAACCTTTTTTTTACTGAAGTGTTCCTATTTGGACTCTCACCTAATGTTTATTTATTTATTTATTTTTTTTTTAAACATTATTACTACTTATTTCAAAACATTGTGAGGACATTCAGAACTAATGTTCCCATAATGTTTACAAAATAATCAAATTGAACATTCCCTAAATGTTTTTGCTAATGTTTGCATAATCAAGAAAAAATTGGATGTTGTGAATTTTCGGAAAACAGAAATAATTCAGAAATAATGTTTTCATTACTTAAAGGGAACGTTATCAGACCATTCTTAGAACATAAACATTATTCCAGAAACATTAATAGAAAGTTTATTTAAAAATATCTGGTCTTTAATAAACTTCCCAAAATTTTAGCACAACATGTTATTAGTACATCATTCAAGGAGTGTTTTATTTTAAACTTTATTGGATGTTCATCTAATTTCTTTCTTTTTTTAACATTACTACTAGCTACTTGTTATAAAACATTCAGAGAACATTCACAAATAACATTCAATGTTTGCAAAATTATAAAGATTGTTTCATTAATGTTCAGAGAGCTTTCGGAAAGAATATTTTCATAATGGGAACATTATCAAAACATTCTTAGAACATAAACGTTATTCCAGAAACATTAATAGAATGTTTGTTTAAAGTTCCCTTTCGATACTACACTCGTACTGCGTCTTTGCTAGACGCTATGGGAAAAAGTCCCTTTTCTCCTGAACTGAAGCCTTTTTCAATCACGCAGTGAAACTGCACGGCCATTGGTTCGTGCAGTATGTTTTAAAAAACGAACCAATGGCTTGGCAGTGGTGCTGCACAAACCTATGGCAGCGAAGCCCGCCAGAATGGGTGGAGTCATCCGGCTATATAAGCGGCTGCCTCGCCATAGGATTCAGATTTCTTCTCCTTCAGCAATGACGACGTTCTTTGCGATCTCCGCTGACTGAAGAGCCGGATAAAGCTGGACCAGCGATCTCTCAGCTCGGCTGATTTGCCGCTCCTCCCACTGCCTTTAGCGTCATAGCAGCAGAGATTCCAGCTAATTCCCCTGCCGCCATCCGGCGAGCCTAAAATAGCTTATTTCTAAGACGTAAGTTCTTAAAAGAGCAAAAATTCTGGCGACGTTGTTGCAAATGTCGCGGTGCGAGTGTGGCTCATGCAGGGAGCCCTGCATGATGCAGAGGAGTAGTGAGTGCGTCGCATGTCTGGGCAGCCCCCACGCAGAGACTGCACTTCACTGAGACGGAATGCCCTCGCTGAGAGCATGAGTCTTACCCCTCTCCGCTCGCGCCCCGCCTTCTAACGAAGGCAGACCCGCTCTCGCGTTTCTCCTCTCTCAGCAAAGCTCGGAGATAGAAACAGCAGAGCCACGGGTCTGAGCAATCATTGACCGATCGCACACCGGCACAGAGCCCGTGTGCCCACTCTCCCCGCTGCACTTTGATCCGCTGGTGTGTTTTACAGGTGAGAATTAGCGCCCCTCGTTACATCGAGCGGCTCTAACCTCCTGGGTGGATCAGAACACTGTCACCTCTCTGTTGCTGACAGTTTCGCATTGTGTGTGCAGCACTGAAGCTACGCTCAGACAGGCTGCTTTCATTCTAAAGCCCCAGTCTGTTCCTGCTTCACTCGTTGGTCCCCTCCCGGTTACCTCGGAGGAAGAAATGGCGAATTTGCGGTTTGAGCGATCAGGCTTGAGTGATCTTACGCTGACACACATCACATGCCTCACTTGATCCGCCAGTGTGTGTGTGTGTGTGTGTGTGTATGTATGTGTGTCTGTGTTACACGCGAGGATGAGCGCCCCTTGTGTCGCAGAGGCTGCTTTCACTTTTGAAGCGTGAGTCTGTCCCTGCTCTCGCGTTTCTCCCCTCCCAGTTACATCGGAGAAAGAAACAGCGAATGCGCGGGTTGAACGATCGGGCTTGAGTGTTTTTTACGCCGGCACGGCTCCCGCGTGAGTCACACGTGGAGTGTGCAGCTCTTTGATCGGCCAGCGTGTTTTGCACGTGAGGATCAGCGCCTCTCGCTTTCGTCGAGTGGCTCAATCCTTCAAAGCAGAACGGCTGTCACCAATGACTTCATATCGCTGACAGCTTTGAGTTGAGTGCGTCGCTCGTCCGGGCCACGCCCATGCCCACGCCGGGACTGTGCTCACTGACAGACTGCTACAAGAGCGTGTGTCTCACTCTGCTGTGCTCACGGGGGTGACCCCGCCCTCCACTCGTCCGCTACGAGCGGATTTGAGAGAATGCGCACAGCACTTTTGATCTGTCTGTGTGTTTTCACAAAGATCATCAGTACCCCTCTTTTAATGAGCGGTTTTGATCTTTTTAGGTGGATTGAAAGGGAATGCTGTTACTAATGATTACCACTGACAGCTTCAGACATGTATGGGCCACGCCCACAGGGGCTGACTGCTCTCGTTACGAGAGCATTGGGTCTAGCTCCCCCAAACGGCCTCTGTAATGCCTCCAAGCACACCATCCAGTTCCGGGTGCCGATGACAATGCGTTTGTTGTGATCTCTGTTGTGAATACTGGGCTCATTAAAAAGCACTCACACAACTGGTCGCTGTTATAGCGAGAAATAAGACAAACAAAATTAAGAGCAAATTCCTCTTCTACTTGTCGTGAGTACCGGGTCCCCCAAGGCGACCCGCCTCCAGAACCAATCCTACCTCTTGTCACACTGGTCAAGGCCTGGCAGGTCATCCCCGGAGTGTCAGGTTGGGTTTTGGGGATAATAAAGCGAGGTTATTCACTCCAATTCGCTCAAAGACCCCCAGCAGAGTGGTCCCCACTTCAGTTAGAGCAACGACACACAAGTCCTGCACTCCGAAGTAAAGAATCTGCTGGGAAGGAGCCATAGAGGTGGTTCCTCTGGCCCAGAGCGAGTCAGGCTTCTACAGCCGTTACTTCCTCGACCCCAAAAGGGATGCCGGCCTACGGCCCATCCTCGATCTCGGACGTCTGAATCGCGCCCTCATGAGACGGCCATTCAAGATGATTACGCTGAAACAGATCCTCTCGCAAATCTGGACATGAAAGACGCCTACTTTCATATCCAAATAGCCCCCGATCACAGGCAATTCTTGACATTCGCCTTCGAAGGGTGGCTTATCAATATACGGTCCTTCCCTTTGGGCTGTCCCTGGCTCCACGCACTTTCACGAAGTGCATGGATGCGGCTCTTTCCCCTCTAAGACAGACTGGAATCCACGTTCTCATCTACCTCGACGACTTTCTCATTCTGGCCCAGTCGGAGGCGGAGTCACTATCTCATAAGCCCTTCTCCTCAGCCACTTGAAATGTCCTACATAAATCACAACGGGGGACTATCCTCTAAGCGGCTCCTTGTACTAGTAGAGTGCCTCTTGGAATGGGCCCAGCTAAACTTACGTTCGCTGAGAGCAGCACACGTTCCGGGCATATTGAACCGAGGAGCGAATATGTTGTCACGAAGCAAGGTCCCCTTAGAGGAGTGGATGCTTCATCCGCAGACAGTTAAAAAAATTTGGGAAGTCTTCGACAGCGCAGAAGTAGACCTCTTCGCCTCAGAAGACAATTCTCACTGCCCAATCTATTTTTCCAAGGGCAAGGATGCGTTGGCACACGACTGGCCCAACCTCCTTCTCTACGCTTTTCCCCCGGTTGCCCTGATTCCACACGTAATCAGGAAGATCAGGGAACAGAAACGCAAAGTGCTCCTGGTGGCTCCGCTCTGGAGAAACCAGCATTTGTTGTCAGAGCCGTCACAGCTGCTAATAGCAGCCCCGTGGCCTATTCCCCTGAGGCGGGATCTCCTTTCCCAGGCAAACAGGACGATATAGCACCCCAGGCCAGAGCTGTGGGCCTTGCACCTGTGGCCACTCGATGGGAGCCTATTAGTCTCCCAGAGTGTGTATTGAACACCATTTCTGACAGCGCAGAAGTAGACCTCTTCGCCTCAGAAGACAATTCTCACTGCCCAATCTATTTTTCCAAGGGCAAGGATGCGTTGGCACACGACTGGCCCAACCTCCTTCTCTACGCTTTTCCCCCGGTTGCCCTGATTCCACACGTAATCAGGAAGATCAGGGAACAGAAACGCAAAGTGCTCCTGGTGGCTCCGCTCTGGAGAAACCAGCATTTGTTGTCAGAGCCGTCACAGCTGCTAATAGCAGCCCCGTGGCCTATTCCCCTGAGGCGGGATCTCCTTTCCCAGGCAAACAGGACGATATAGCACCCCAGGCCAGAGCTGTGGGCCTTGCACCTGTGGCCACTCGATGGGAGCCTATTAGTCTCCCAGAGTGTGTATTGAACACCATTTCTCAGGCTAGAGCTCCGACGACAAGACGCCTCTATGCCCTTAAATGGCCAGTGTTCTCTGCCTGGTGCTCAAACCGCGGCGAGGAACCGCTCACTTGCGACATATCGATGATACTGTCCTTCCTGTAGGAGCTGTTGGACAAGGGTCTCTCCCCGTCCATGCTCAAGGTCTATGTGGCGGCAATAGCGGCTTCTCACGCCCTATAGCGGGTCAATCGGTCGGCAGGAACAACCTTGTTGTTCGTTTTCTGAGAGGAGCCAGAAGGCTAAATCCGCCCCGGCCTCTCACTGTCCCTACGTGGGACCTGCCCACTGTTCTGAGGGCCTTGAAGGGCCCTCCCTTTGAGCCGCTGCAGTCCATCGACCTTCGGTCCCTGTTGTTTAAAACCACTCTGCTACTAGCGCTAACATCGGTCAAGCGAGTGGGGGACTTTGCAGTCACTTTCTATAAGCCCTAATTGCCTCGAATTCCGGCCTGGCGACTCCAAGTTCATCCTGAAACCAAGGCATGGCTTTGTACCTAAGGTGCTCTTGACTCCATTCAGAGCACAGGTTATCAACCTTTCTGCGCTTCCTCCCTCGGAGGAGGACCAGGAGTTGAATTTACTCTGCCCAGTTAGGGCTCTGAAGGTCTACATCGAGCGTTCCGCCAAATTTAGGCAGTCGGAACAGCTCTTTGTTTGCTTCGGTGGCCGCGCTAAAGGACACACGGTCGAAGCAGAGACTTTCTAAATGGGTAATCGACGCTATTTTGCTAGCCTACTGTTCTCTAGGCCTACAATGCCCAGTTGGAGTACGAGTCCACTCAACTAGAGGCATTCGCCTCTTCATGGACGTGGTCTAGAGGCGTGACCATTGCAGAAATTTGTGCGGCGGCCGGCTGGGCCTCGCCATCCACTTTTGCTAGGTTCTATAACCTGGATGTCCCTGCCTTGCAGGCTAGGGTTCTTTCTGCTTAAATGGCGCGCAGTTCGCTCTGAGCGCAGTTTGGATGTAATATGCCCAGACCTTTCAGAGAGCTTACTTGTGCGCTCTCGGCCCCCATGGGTGCTGATGCTGAGTCTTCTGGAACGATCACTCAGCTAGGTGAGGCCTTCATGAGGCTTAGCCTGTTAAGCCTGGAGGAATTTATTGTTCTTGTTCTCTTGGGCCCTGAGGTGCTTAAGACAAGAATTATCATTGTCGTTCCTCTGTCATGGCACGGCGTGATTGTACTGTTCCCATAGCATCTAGCAAAGACGCAGTACGAGTGTAGTATCGAAAGGGAACGTACTTGGTTACAAACGTAACCTCGGTTCCCTGAGATACGGGAACGAGTACTGCATTGCTAACCATGCCATGCAGCTGCACGACTCAGTTGTCGCTTCAGTCGAAGTAACCTGAATCCTATGGCGAGGCGGCCGCTTATATAGCCAGATGACTCCGCCCATTCTGGTGGGCTTTGGCGGGCTTCGCTGCCATAGGTTTGTGCAGCACCACTGCCGAGCCATTGGTTCGTTTTTTAAAACATACTGCATGAACCAATGGCCTTGCAGTTTCACTGTGTGATTGAAAAAGGCTTCAGTTCAGGAGAAAAAATGACTTTTTCCCATAGCGTCTAGCAAAGACGCAGTACTCGTTCCCGTATCTCAGGGAACCGAGGTTACGTTTGTAACCGAGTAAGTTATCTGCATTACGTTCCCAAATCGTTAGCACAAAAACATTATTTAACACCATTTAAGGAACTTTTTTTTCTGAAACATTCTTATTTCGATATTCATCAACGTTTTTTAAACATTACTACTAGCTACTTGTTATAAAACGTTCAGAGAACATTCGAAAATAACATTCCCATAATATTAGCAAAATTATAAAGATCTTTACATTAACGATTTTGCTATAAAACGTTTAAAAACATTTTAAAAATTTGACATTTTGAACTTCAGAGAGAATGTTTTCATAACTTAACGGGAACGTTATCAAAACATTCATAAAACAGCTGGGATATCACTTACCAGCCCAACACATGGACTGTGTGGATGTGGAGCAGATATATGGATAGCATCGCTTCTGTCTGGGAGGAGACAGATCTCTGCCATGGCAGGGGAAGTTGGCTGGCGGTGTGTGTGTGAGCTGGCTGCATCTTAAGCCAGTTTATCTTACCGCTCCACGCTGCTGGTGCTCTGCCAGCGCTCACAGCCCTGACTCTGAGTGAGGACGACATTAATGAGTCCCTCTCTCTTCTGCATGCAAATGATGGACGTATGCATGAGATTCCCTGAAACTAGCCCAAATAAAGCACGAACACACACACACACACACGCGCGCGCAGCCCTCAGACCGCGAGGCCTATGGGTGGCAGTGATGCTGCGAGCAGACAGTCTGCAGCTACACACGCGAACACGCCACACACCGAGCGAGGGAGAGAGATGGAGAAAATTTAGTCCATGATACAGGGAAGGCAAACGCATCCTAATCATTCGCCCAACCTCACGCGCGCGCACCGTGGCACCAGGAGACCCAATGCTTTATTGTCTTGGCGGATGGGTGGAGGTCTGGGCGCTAAGCTGAGGATGCAGGCATCACGCCGAGGGTAAGCGCTTCACATTTCGGCTCTGACTCACGTACAGCGGTTTTTCTTTTCTTTTTCTTTCTTTCTCTGTGGCGGCCGCGTCCTCGCATCCTTTTTGCTCCGCCTCATTGGTGCTTCCCCATTCCTCTCTCTCTCTCTCTCTCTCTCTCTCTCTCTCAGAGCTCCAGGCCAATTGGTTGCCTGCCTTCAACCGTTATATGCTCTCTTCCTTCTCCGGCTGTCTCCGCGTCTCTCCTCTTCCTCTGTCTTCCTTCAACTCGTGAAGAATGATTAGCATACGGGAGGCGAGAGGAACTTTCCAGCGCGAGTGAACAGGAGATCAAGTGCGCAAAAGGAAGGACGCTGGAAAATACAATCAGCAGCGATTGGAAAGTTTGAGAGAAGACAACATTTCCAGAATGGTGGGTCACTCGTGATTTTATTTCTGGCTGGATCGCTTTGCAGACATTGCTCTGATTGAAGAGTTGAGCTTGTAGAGCGTGTGTTTTATTAGTAGTTACAGTGCAGCTGTTACCCTGAATCTTAGAAATGAGCTTTGTGACAGTGACCTACTGTAATCAGGTTGATTTAGTCATATCAAATAATGTTACTTTTAATAAATTAGTTACTATAAAATTTAGATGAACATTTTTCACTGGACAAAACATTTTTACAGTGTAATAAAAATGATTGCTCAGTATTTTTTCTTGTTTTCTAGTACAAATAGACATTTTTAAATCAAGATGCATTTACTTGAGAAGGAAAATAAAGATAATAATTCTTGTTTTCTGACAAATTTGTCAAAATTAAATGAGTGTATGCTTAAAAAAAAGAGAGAAAAATCTGCCAGTAGACTAAGAAAAATATTCATTTTCCCCCTTTGTATAAAGTTAATTTTTCCCACCCCGTTGGCAGATATTTTTTTCTTGTTTTAAGCATAAACTCTTCTTTTTGAGATTTTTAAAATAGTGTTGTTGATAAATAACAAGACTTAATATCTTAAGTCATTTTGCTTTTCAAGTAAATGCAAAACAAGACAAAAAGACTAAAAATCTTTTTTTTTTACAGTGAAAGTATGGTGGGAAGATGAAATGAGCATATTGAATGAGTGAAGTTCAGCTGTTCAGAAGATTAATCTTGCATCTATAGTTTGGTTTTCTGTGATCCTACCACACTTTTCAACTCATTTTTCCTAATGCATAGGATTAGGATCATTTGTTCTGTATCAGGCACTACTACATAAGTGTTGTACAGCAAGTAGCCGTATACTTTGTGTTGGCATGCTGCTCAAAGAGTCCATGCTAATGTGGATGTTGTGAGAGGTAAACAAGTCTCTCAGGTCACGAGCTGTTGGGCTTGTTCTCTGGAAGGTTCTGTGGGCTTTGTTTGTTGTGTGAAATGGCATGGCACAACAGTCCATATGGTTCTGGGTTGGACTTACTGTACAAAGGCTGGACTATTTGAAACCTTCAATGTTAAGAGAGTTGTAGAGATATCTGTGCACTGCTGGGAAACTTCTGTCACCTTGAGATGACTGTAAATGAGCTGTATTCAGGATGAACGCATAGCCATGCCTTCATAAGAAAGTGGTTTCATATGTAGTGCCCATATTTGTTTAGACAATTTTCCCCTCATTAAATATCAGATGAGCATTCCCTATCCCAGCTCATATATTCTGAGTAACACATTTGCGTTTCATACTTTTAGTTTATCTTAATCATGTGTCAACAAACAATCTCTGAAATAACATCAGTATATCTGGTTCATCATGATATTTATAAGAAACTGCAAATGAGAAACAGTCACCGTTTCTTTCAGCTGTTTCAAAGACTCTTTTACGTTGCATGATGTAACTCAATCCAGCACTGTACTGTAGTCTAGAACTGAGACAGAGTGCACTTTGACTAAATAGCATTTTGGTTAAGGTTTAAACCAAACCATTTGAGAAAAAAATAATAAATTGAGTTTTTGAATGGCTGAAACACAGAAGCAAATCCCTTAATCCTTCTGAAGGAGTCACTTCTTAGCGATTGATCATTTTATAAGGAAAGCAAAGATATAGCAAATGTGTGTTGGTTGTTACCATAGATATTTTTTTTACCAAAACAACTTAGCAACCACAGCTATTCATCTAGTGCATCTAATTATTGTCACTGAGTAAGCAACTTATTTATTCAGTATTGTGTACATGCTACAGTACATGGATTTCATCAAAAATTTGAGAATTTCCAGGGAACTATGTGAATTTGGGAGTGCCATATTTAGCTGTATTTAACTATCACTTAAACTTTAGGACTACATTAAAATTGTCAACACTAATACATTTATTTATTTAGGTGGTTCAGATGAATCAAATTGAATAATTCGGTGTCTCAATTACTCAAATATGGCTGAATTTTCATAGTCACTCAATGACACTGTGTCAGTATTGGCGGTGAATGGGTGACGGAGAAATGGCTGATGTTTATTAGGCATGAAGGCCACATCAGTAATTCCGAACATGATTTCTATGCGTGACGTTCATCCATTCATTCATTCTGCGTGAGAGCGCCTTCCCCATCATAATCCATATCAAAACATGATCTATATCTGAATAGCTCGGCCAATTAAACATCAATTTTGACTTTGGTGCAAGGCTGTATAGGAGAGTGTGGTGTATCAAGTAGACAAATGATTAATACCTGCGCTCACCTACTGGCACAACACGCACCCGCGGTCATTCATCTCGCCGGACCACTCACCTGAGAGCACGATAATCATGCGTGTCAGAAACACAGGGATTTGCATGAGTTATGGGCTCTGCAGGCATGTGACAGGACAGCGGTTGGGGATGAGCCGTTCAGTCATCGCTGTTTGGCGTCATGTTCAGTGGAAGAGGAGGAAGATTACTGCTGCCTTTCATTGAGGACTCAAGCTTCCTTTGACTAGGCTTAGTCAAGCACTGCTTTAAGAGAGGATGCTCTCAGTGTGTCCTAATTTTATGCTCTTCTTTAGAGCACTCTGAGAATTGTGTTTGTGTTTGGCTCTATGTGCCAGTGGATGTAT